GGTTGGAGACCCCTGCCCTACACCATTTCTGACAGATGGGAGTCCAGTCTCTTCTTGAAAGCCTCCAGTGATGATGCTCCCACAACTTCCGAGGGCAACTTCTGTTCCATGGGTAGATTATTCTCAGTATCAGAGTATTTTTCTTTATTTCTAGGTTGAATCTCTCCTTGTTCAGTTTCCATCCATTATTCCTTGCCTGGCCTTCAGGTGCTTTGGAAAATAGCTTGACCCCCCTCCTCTCTGTGGCAGCCCCTCAAATAGCAGCCCCACTGCTATCATGTCTCCCCTGGTCCTTCTCTTCACAAGACTAGCCATGCCCAGTTTCTGTAACCGTTTATCATATGTTTTAGCCTCCAATCCCCTAATCATCTTGGTTGCTCTTCTCTGCATTCTTTCTAGAGTATCAACATCTTTTTTTATAGACAGGTGACCAAAACTGGATGCAGTATTCTAGGTGTGGCCTTATTAAGGCTTTATAGCGTGGTATTAGTACCTCACTCAATCCCTCTGCTGTATCCCCCTCTAAATGCAATTTAGGATTGCATTGGCATTTTTGGCTGCTTCTGCACACTGCTGGCTCATACTTAACTGATTGTCCACTAAGACTCAAAGATCCCTCTCACAGTTTACTGCTATTTAAGCCTGGTTTCACCCAGTCTATATGTGTCCTTTTGGGTTTTCCTGCCTAAATGTGAAACTTTACTTTTCTCTACATTGAATTTCATTTTTGATTTGGTGAATTGATCCAATGGTACCCAATCTTCTTTAGTATAGATGATACTAGTATAGATCAGTACTTCTCTACTCTGGCTGGCTTGCTGGAGAAATTTGGGAGTTAAAGTCCCCTCGTCTTAAAATTGCCAGGGTTGAGAAACACGGCTCTACATTCAGCGAATGGGGAAAAATAGAAATTAGAAACAGGTATTTCTATCCCTTTCAGCGATTGCCGGTTTAATATTGTTGTGGTGCAGGATATGCATGCTCTCTCTCCCAGCTGCAGCAGGCTGCTGACTCATCATTTTGTCCTTAGATGACCCCACCAGTTTCTTCTCTGCTGTATGTGAGGCTGTGGGGAGGAGGAGAATAAGATGGAAACAAAAGTGGAATGTCATTATGAAGAAGTCAAGCTTAAGGCTTCTGCATCCAGAGCGTTTGGAATTCGACTAGACATTTGTCATTCCTGGGACTTGTGGGTTTTTTTTGTTTTTGTTTTTTCTGCAGTGCGCAAGAGTTGCATCGTCCCAGCTGGCGGTGTTGCTAGAAATATTGGAGAAAGGCTGAATTCTATAAGCTGTGGCTATGACACAACTGAGCATATGTGTATTTTCATATTTAGTCTACTTTTGGGCATTGTAAGTTACAATGATACCAGGATGAAAATGATGAATACCTGCTCTAAAATAATCTCCAGAACCCCTGCAAAAACTAGCGGTTCAGACCAGCTTGAAATAATAAATAGACTGCTTTAAATAATACAACGGGAGAAGATGCTTCTTGAGTTTTCTGGGTCAGCACTTATGCAAGAATTACAAAGCTGGAACATATCCAATCCATGGTTGTCTGGTTTCTTCTAAAATATCTCAACTGAGGGAGGAGCTATGCACCATTTCTTTTGGTAATGATCCCATTGTTGAAAGTCTATGGAGATTCTCAGTCATCCAGGTTGTCCCAAAGGTGCTTTTTCAGGAGGCAACTGGACTTTCTGGTTTTTTTCTTTGAATGAGATTGAAGGATGAACACCTTTCAAATGGTGCGGGAATAGGAATGGATTTCCAGAAAAATTGCATACTACAAGATCCATTTGCACTATTCAGGTGACCTTGAGGACACGGATAAACCTCCAAGTGCCTCAACAACTCTCTAAAAGGATGCAAATGACCAGCCGTCTGCAAGGAATATAAATCCTTCCATACCTCACTATCCTGTCAGAGCTGAAGAAGCTTCTTGGATGAGAAGCGAAATGTCTTCAAAGAAAAAACAAGAAAGTTCAGATGCCTCCTGAAAAAAGCACCTTTGGGATCCCATTGTTGAATTGCTGTGACTTGCGTGAGGAACCCACCCACCCACCCCACCCCACCTGTTCAGGATTTGATCACTTCATTTTGCCAACGGTTAATTGAAATCGATCATCTGAGTAATCAGATAGTCTTTGCTCAATGACCACAGTTGGGATGATGTCACCATCCCAATTGTGATAAGTTAAAAAGTGATAAGTCGTAGTTCATAAATCACAAGATACAATCATAAACATAAGATACAAACAACAATTGATAAATCTTACCAATAGGACAAGGTAGTAGGAAAGAATAGAGGTGAGAAAGTTGAGAAGATGAGAAGGATAAGAAGGTGACAAGGATACCAACAAGACAGCCTGCTACATATGTTTAGGCATAAGACAGTGCTGTAGGAGTTAGGTGTTTAGCAGAGTGATAGCACAGGGAAAAACTATCTTTGTGTCTAGCTGTTTTCGTGTGCAATGCCCTATAGCAGCATCTTAGGAGGACAAATTGAAACTGTTTATGTCCAGGGTGTGAGGGGTCTGTAGATATTTTCTCAGCCCTCTTTCTGGCTCGTCAGTAGTCCTTAGTGGAAGGCAGGCTGGTTGCAATTGTTTTTTCTGCAGTCCTAACTATCTGTTGAAGTCTGTACCCATCCTATTTGGTTACTGTGCCAATACAGCTATTAAGCAAGACAACATGTGACTGTGATAGACTTACAACCCCATTTCCGCCACAATTGTTAAGAAAAAGCTGTAGGGCCATATCTTTTTTTGAGAAGGCATCTCTTATTTCCTTTATGCCATCAAATGATCACACAGATTGCCATCAACTTGATGGCCTTCATCTTATCGAAGTTTTGTCTGACACCCAAGAAGCATTTTGCATGATATCAGCTTTGTTATGATGCCGTTAGTGTGGATATTTGCGTAGCTGGTTGCACATATTGAACCAGGGGTGTGAAACTCCCATCTTTATGGCATCATCACATGACGTATCGTGACTTTTTTTTCCTTTTGCGAAACTGGCCGTGGGCATGACCACCACATGATGCATCTGGCCTGCGGGCCATGAGTTTGACAGCCCTGTACTAAACAATTGCATTTTGGTGATCTATTTTTTAGCTCAACAGGTTCCACTTAAAACAGATGGTCTCTTGTGCCCAGAAGTTCAGCATGGAAGATTGAAGCAACTGAAGTGTTTATTAAAAATGGCTGCTTCTTATGAAAAAAGTTTCTTTGCAAGAGAATTAAAGATACAACATGCTGTGCTTACCATCATTTTCGTCCCTAAACAAAATACCAAATTGTATTTTGAGAAATGTAAAAAATTGATAACTGGGGTTATGGAAGGGAGGAAAGGGCTGGAATCAAGTGTCTCTGGGAGGTTGAACAACTAGCCTTGAGGTGCATCCAGAACAAACTTAAACTAAATACACTAAAACCGTAGAAATGGTGGTAGACTTTAGGAGAAACTCTCCTGTCTGTCATCTGCACCTCTAGAACTGTCTGGTTTGGTTCTGCAATCAAACAAGACAGACACAGACTTCAGAGGGTAATTAGAACTGCAGAAAAAACAATTGCTACCAATCTGCTTTTCACTGAGGACCTGTATACTGCACGAGTCAAAAAGAGGGCTGTGAAAATATCTACAGACCCCTCACATCCTGAACATAAATTGTCTCAACTTCTACCCTCAAAATGATGCTATAGGGCACTGCACACCAGAACAACTGGACACAAGGACAGTTTTTTCCTGAATGCCATCACTCTGCTAAACAAATAATTCCCACAACACTATCAAATTATTCGCTAAGACTGTATTACTATTCTCATCCTTCCTAGTACCTATCTCTTTCCACTTATGACTATAACCGTGTTGCTTGTATCTTTACAATTTATACTGTTTTATTTGTTTCCTAGTATGATTTGATTGCTAATCTAACCTAATAGTGTTGTATTTTATGATTCTTGATGAATGTATTTTATTTTTTCTTTACGTACACTGAGAGCTTATGCACCAAAGACAAATTCCTTGTGTGTCCAATCACACTTGGCCAATCAAGAATTCTATAAAGAATTCTATAAAACATTAAAACGAGAATGGTTCCTATCTGGGATTTAACAACTTCATTTTATCTCACCTCCAAAAATTGGCCAGCATTATGCTATCCCTGAATGCGTTCAGTCCTCTTGCTTTTTTTCTGGAAATTGCTCTCATGTTTAAGAGCAGACACCCCCCCCAAAAAAATAAAAAAATGTTTGGTTCATTTTTGCAGGATCAGGTTCCTCCCAGACTGCTGATCACTGTCTGTTGGAGGGGATGATGTAGTTTTGGGCTACCTCACCATGCCAAGCCCAGACTGGAAATAAGGAAATAATGATACATATGACATTAAATAAGGAAGAGCAGTCAATAATTAAACTCTGCCAGGTTTCTCCTCTCATTCAAGTCTACTTCTGGATGTGATACAAGATGGGAATTAAATTGGAGAGGAGATGTGGTAGGAAAGATGCAGATTCATTACAGATAAACCGTTCTAGCTGTTCAATTTCACAAACCTAATAAGACGAGCTAAGTTATCTGGAATTTCCTCCAGGGTATATACATGTAACATTGCAGCTAATGACTTAAGAATATCTTCATGGTAACGTTCCCACTTTGCATAATCTAGGCTGATCACAGAATCCAATGTATTCTGCTGCCGAAATCAGGTTGTCCTGGAGCCAAAATGTGCAACTGTGTTTCTTTAAAGGACCAAGTCTTGTTTCAGGATCCTTCAGTCTTTCACACCCAGGTTCTAGGAGGTGGTGTAATAAGGCCTCCTTGGTGCTCTTCGGGCTTGGTTGTTTTCTTGCAGACATTTCATTACCAAACCAGGTAACATCATAGATGATGTAAATTTAGTTTCTTGGCCAAACTGTAGAACTGGAACATACAAAGGATGCAGCTTTACTAAAGCTACTAAAATCTTGACCGTGTTGCTTTTGTCTCTACTTACAGGATTCCACGTGATTCCAACCATTTCCAACATAGTTCCTGAGAGCTGCTTACTCATTGTCGTAGGACTGCTGGTTGGTGGGCTCATTAAAGCCGTGGGAGAAACCCCTCCAGTCCTAAATTCCAAAGTCTTCTTCCTCTTCCTTCTCCCACCCATCATCCTGGATGCTGGTTACTTCTTGCCCTTGCGCCAGTTCACTGAGAATATGGGCACCATCTTGATTTTTGCAGTGATCGGGACGTTATGGAATGCTTTCTTCGTAGGGGCACTGATGTACGCCGTCTGCCAGATAGGTGGCCCTCTTTTATCAGACATTGGCCTCTTGTACAACCTGCTCTTTGGCAGCATCATCTCGGCGGTGGACCCTGTGGCTGTGCTGGCTGTCTTTGAGGAGATTCACATCAATGAACTTTTGCACATCTTGGTGTTTGGTGAATCGTTGCTGAATGATGCCGTTACTGTGGTAGGTAGAGTGCAGCTTTGGCAGAGATGGCTTTGTCATGGAATAAAAAAAGTCTTTGTGGATTTAGGGCAGAGGTCTCCAAACTTGGCAACTTGAAGTTTTGTGGACTTCAACTCCCAGAATTCTTCCCACAAGTCTTCAAGTTGTCAAGTTTGGAGACCCTTGATTTAGAGCACAAGGCAGCAAAGGAGGAGGAGACAGAAAATATCTTGTGCACGATTCAACACAATGTCCATACTCCCAAGGAAACACACTGCATGCAGATATCGATGATATAGGTATTATTAGCTGAGAGATTTCTTGTCTCCACAAGGGATCAGCTGATGCCAAGGGAACCTCAAAGGAAGGATCACTTTGCCTTTTGATTTCTTAGCATCCCTAGATTCTTAGCTTCTCTTAGTCAGAAATATCCTGTGTCTGCTCGGGATGAACTGAACATTCATTTGACAGACATCTACTTCTTGTCTTCCTAAATATCAGCCCAGGGATAGAAAACCGAATTTGTCTGCAGAAGATCACAGATAAATAGGGGAAAGTCCTTTTTCTTCTTCTCCTGAAATGTGAGAAATGCCAATTTAATATGAGCTGTACCTTATTTAAGAGAGACAGTTTATTGTAGTGGTTAAGGCCCTATACTAGAAGCAAGGAGACCATAAGTTCTAGTTGCTAACATTGGATTCGGCTGTTGGCCTTGTAGCACAGTACATGCATTGCATTCCATCAGTTTGTAGATTTAATTTATTTAATTTAAGAGTTTCAGATAAGTGGGTTAAAAAGGTCCTTTCTAAAGCTTAGAATGTCAACCAAAAAATACTTCTTTGGTCTTTTTGGTTGCCAGCAGAAAGGCAGTGGAGAGTAGTGCATTCCTGAAATGCGTCAGATAATTGCTAGGCATCCCGAAGCTGTTGGCGGGCAAGATTATTACTGGAGAGCATAATGGATGACTCTTGGCTATGGATGTGTCCCATTGGAGAATATACATCCAGGGGGTGGGGGGAAGACCAGGGTCAAGAGGGAAATGAATGATGTGTCTTAGTGTCAGCTGCACCCAGGTAATGCGGACATGGTCACTCCTAATCATTTTTGTTTTTACCCTGAGAGATGCGGCTAGAGACTTATGATTTGAATGGGGGTGGTTTGTTGGAGCCCTGACACAGAGGACCTGCTTCCAGCCACTGTTGACGGTACTGAAGTAGTTGGACCAACAGATTGGCCTGAATATGGGGATTCATTCACTGTAGTCACGGCTAATGGACTTCATAATACATCGGTTGAAAAGTTACTGCCCTTTTTAAAAATTAAAGCATTCATTCCAGCCTCTTAATCAGAGATTCCCCGAGTGCCTAGCAATATTTATCCAAAATCCAATAGAAAACGATAAAGCCCTAAACATAATTTGGAACAAATGAAACTAAAATAGCTAATGGGCCACTAAAAAAAGCCTTCCAGGACATCAACAGATACGTAGCAACTGGAAAAAGACACAAAGGCTTTCTGAAGGTGAAGCCTGCTAAATGTCAGAAACCAAAGGCAGTGTTTGGACAAAATCTATTAACTTCATGAAACATACTCATGCATTTGTTTTTAAATTTACTGCATTATTTTTCAGGTCGTCTAATACCTTATTTATTTAAAACAACGTAGTCCTCGAACATGATAATTCATTTAGTCATTCATTCAGTGTCATTTTTCAGTGTCATTCATTCAAACTTATGACACTGAAAAAAGTAACTTACAACAGGTACTCATACTTAAAACCACTGCAGTATCCCCATGGTCACAGGATCAAGATTCAGGTGTTTGGCAATTGGTACATATTTACCAGGATTGCAGAGTCCCAGAGTCAGGTGACCATCATTTGCCATTATTTCATTTTCATTTCATTTTTTTATTTTATTTTTTAAATTTGTGGTGCCTCCTATCTCATCTGGAGATGACTAGACAGCTTACAAAACATTAAAAACAGATACACTTTAAAATGATAAAACAATAACTAACAATACTAATGATAATTTACAAGCACAAAGTACATGGGGAGAGGTGGGTCTTAATCCGGTAGCCTCCTCCAGAGTGGTGCCCCTTCCCATAGAGGCCCCCGGCCAACTGGTAGAGCCAGGTCTTCAGGTCAGGAGGGTGGGTGCGGATCTCATCTGGAGGGTTTGCCCTAGTTGACAGTGAAAAATAAGGGGACGGGGTGGCTCAGTGGCTAAGATGCTGAGCTTGTCAATCAGAAAGGTTGGCAGTTCGGCGGTTTGAATTCCTAGCGCTGTGTGATGGAGTGAGCTCCCATTACTTGTTGCAGCTTTTGCCAAGCTAGCAGTTTGAAAGCATGTAAAAAATGCAAGTAGAAAAATAGGGACCCCTTTGGTAGGAAGGGAACAGCATTTCATGCGCCTTCGGCATTTAGTCATGCCAGCCACATGACCACAGAGATGTCTTCGGACAGCACTGGCTCTTCAGCTTTGTAATGGAGATGAGCCCTCTAGAGCCGGAAACAACTAGCATGTATGGGTGAGGGGAACCTTTACCTTCACCTTTTACAGTTAAAAAATTGGCAGGTTTATCTTCGATTTCACAGCTCTGTGAGCAACTCAGAACAGATTGGAAAATGTCAGCGTTGGTTGAAGTAATTCTGAGTTATGAATGGAAGGATAGAGAAGGCCAGCCTCCCAGTCAAGGGAAATTGGCAAATCAGTACTGTGGCAAGATGTAGACAACTTAGCAGCAACAATCAATTATGTGATTATTTGTATAAAGCAAGGGCCCTGTTGGAATGGCTTGAAAATAAATTGGTTGATTAACACTTGAATTGATTGGTGGTGGTTTGTTGTCCGTGGGACAGTTAACAAATTATTGAGAGTTGGAATGCCAATTGTTTGTCCTCTGTAGCTCTCTTGTTAGATCTTCTGAGGTCCAGTTCTCTGCTATTTTGGAAATAGGGCAAGCCCTATTATTAGAGAGAGTGTTACCTCCAACAGCAGATACCAAAGGATGAAGGAGGATTGTGAAGTATGGAAGGACAATGCTATGTTGTGCTTCATGGACTTTCCTTACCAACCCTTAGAGGTAGACTGGACAAGGAGCATCAGCTATGAGTATTAACACTACTACCTTTATTCTAAAATTATAGTAACAGTATCTCGCAAGTCTGGAAGGACATCACTGTCCTTCACCTTTACAAGCCAGAAACTAGGGAATGTCTCTTCTGAGACATTTGCCATGCCCTGTTGCTTCCGTGGACTAAGGTGCCTCTTATAGGATCACTGAAGAATTGATGCTTTTGAATTGTGGAGTGCTGGAGAAGACCTTTGAGAGTCTCTTTCGACTGCAAGGAGATCAAATCAGTTGATCCTAAAGGAGATCAACCCTGACTGTTCTTTGGAAGGACAGATACGGAAGCTGAAACTCAAATTACTTTGGCCACGTAATGAGATGAGAAGACTCTGATGTTGGGAAAGGCGAAAGGAGAAGGGGATGGCAGAGGATGAGATGGATAGATAGTGTCATCGATGCCATGAGCATGAAGATGGGCAAATTCTGGGAGACTGTGGAGGACCTGAGAGCCTAGTATCTATGGTCCTCAGGTAGCGAAGAGTCAGACAGAGTGACTGAACAACAGCAACAAACATGACATTGCCTAGTCCCGTGATGGCGAACCTATGGTACATGTGCCACAGGTGGCATGCAGAGCCATTTGTGCCGGCACGCGAGCTGCAGGCACACTTACCTCACTGCACACGCTTGTGCTTCACAGCTGATTTTTGGCCGGTTTGAGGCCTTTTTCGGCCTCCCAGAGGCTTAAAGAAGGCTTCTGCAGGCTTTGCAGGCTGAAAACTAGCCCCGTTTCATCACTTCCTGTTTTTCCGACAATACCGGAAGTGATGAAACGGGGCTAGTTTTCGGCCTGCAAAGCCTGCAGAAGCCTGCAAAAGGCTTCCTCAAGCCTCTGGGAGGCTGAAAAAGGCCTCAAACCAGCCAAAAATCAGCTGTGAGGTGCAGTGCAGGTAAGGGCGGTGGGGTGGGTGGGTGGGTGGGTGGGGATTGCATGTACGTGCATAGGGTGTGTGTGTGTGCATTGCCTTCTGGGTGCTGGCATGCGAGCACACAAATGCAAGCATGCTCACAATTTTTGGCACAGGAGCTCAAAAAGGTTAGCCACCACTGGCCTAGTCTATGACTTTTTCTGATTCTCAAGAACACTCTTACAGAATATTACAGTCCTGAGATTTAAACTAGGCTGTTTCCTCATTGGCAGGAAATATTACCCAAGCATTTATACTGAAGAAAGAGTCATCTCCTGCAGAGGAAGTGACATTTTGTCATCCCTCCTGGGTAGAAAACTGTCTTAGAGTTCTGCTCAAACATTATTCTGCAAAGATGGCATCAGAACTGCCATCTCATGCCTGCGCTTTGCATTCACTAGCTGCCAGTGTGCCGTGAACTATGGGGGGGGGAGCTGGAAGGGGGGAGGAAGCTAATGACTCATCGTACCTTCTAGAGATACAACTTCAAGGTCAGACAGCTAGGAAAGGCATGCACCTCCTCACCACCTACTCAACAGTTGAAGAGACCATTCCCAAAACATTTTATTTGAGGGGGATTGGACAATGAGGGATCAACAATGGGAAGGGACAAAGGGGAAAAAGTTAACCGGGAAAGTTTGGCATGTGAACTTCAGTTCTGGCTTTGCTGTACTGTAAACCACAATGCCCCTGTCGGAGTCAAAGTCCAAGGAGGAAGATGAACAGCTGACAGAGAGTGGGAGTGTGGCTCCCTTGGCCGTAGAGGAGGCTATGGAAGGGCAAAGTCTGGCTGGGCAGAGCAGGGAAGAGATAGAACAAGGGAGAGATAGAACAAGGGAGAGGGAGTTCAGAGGAACACCCAGGCCCACCTCCTCTTCATCCTAGGGCACACAGGAAGGAACGGAGAATAGAACAATGTGGATTGCATGGCTTCCGGGGCAGGAAAGGGCCCTGATTACCTTCATTAGCCACACCTGG